CCGCAGGGCGGTGCTGCCGGGGTGGACCCCCCCTGTGCGGAGCAGGCAGCGCGCCGCATCCAGATGTGCTAAGAGCGAGGGGCGGCCGTGGAGGGGCTCTCTGGCTGTGCTGCAGCCAGCTGGCAAAGGGTGTGCGTGACATGAGTTTGGGGAGTGCTCAGCAGATCCCACCTGGCAAGAGCAGCAGATGGGTTTTTTTTTTTTTTTTAATTCCTTTCCATGCCGGAGCCCTGCTGGAGTGAGGGAGCTGAGGGCTGATTCCCTGCAGGAGTCAGTGTTATGTTGCAAAAGAGGGGCTCTCTGGCTGTGCTGCAGCCAGCTGGCAAAGGGTGTGCGTGACATGAGTTTGGGGAGTGCTCAGCAGATCCCACCTGGCAAGAGCAGCAGATGGGTTTTTTTTTTTTTTTTAATTCCTTTCCATGCCGGAGCCCTGCTGGAGTGAGGGAGCTGAGGGCTGATTCCCTGCAGGAGTCAGTGTTATGTTGCAAAACCTCAGTGATAGCAAGGGCATAACCTTGCCAGCATGACAGTATTCCCTAGAAGCAAGGCTGGTCCTGGACAGCCCGGTCCCTGGGGCCAGCTCAACTCCGATGTCCTTATCGGAGAGGCCGTGACAACAGGATCAAGCCCATGGCCTCCAAAGGGGAAGAGCTGGCTCATCTTAGGCTCAGTGTGCCGGGGGGTCAGGAGCACTTCTGGTGACGGTGGGGGAATGGACCGGGGAAGAGCTTGCATGCACAGACCGAGCCACAGCCCCCTTGTCCAGCCTTGGAGCAGGATAGACATCCGGGGCACACCCGGAGCAGGGAGCCAGCAGGCTGCTCATCAGCTGGGCATGCGGCCAAGGGCGGCTGGGTGGTGGGAGCCCTTCCCTGGCCCAAGAGCAAGGGGTCTGTGCTGGTGGTAAGCAGGTCCCAGGAGCAGCAGCTGGTGGCCCCCTTGGTCCCTCCAGACACATGCTGAGATGTGGCAGCCAGCTTTGCTGAGGGAGAGCAGAGGACTCCCTTGGTGGCCGGTCTGTCCTCTGCACCAGATAGCACTGGGCTAAGGCGCCCAAGCTGTGCACCACTCAGGATTAGACGGGATGTGCTCTGTCTCACGTGCCTGTTCCGCTTCGCCAGCAGCAGGAGGATGGAGAACAAGGCCATGTATCTTCACACCTTCAACGAGAGGGAGAACGGCTCCATCTTTGAGGAGCCCTTTGAGGGAAGGAACCTCTCCAAGCTGAACCTCTGCGAGGACGGTGAGTCCAGGTCCTCCCGCTTGGAGACGCTCGGTCCAGGGGGCTTCGAACGTGGAGGCAGGAACCTGGGGAGCTCTTGATGGGGAACCTGGGGGTTTCCCGAGCAGAGACCGAGTGGCCCTTGTCTGCGAGGGGGACGAGGCAGGGCAGCTCAGGGACTCCCACGGCAGGCAGGTTTCTCCTCTCCTCTCGCACCCCTTTCTGCTCCGACCGGTGGCTGAGCACAGCCAGGGCACTGCGAGCCCCTCGGGGTGCCCCAGGTCTCATTCAGGTCTCATCCACTGACCGAGGATGTACTCCAGGGAAAGTTTCTTTAATTGTTAAGGGTTGATTTATTTTTTTTTTCCCCCCTTCATTTTGCCTCCTGGCTCTTGTCTGTGGTCCTGCCTGGAGATGGTCCCCCCCCAGCTTGCAGTGGGGATCGTAGCATCAGGGCTGCGCAGCCGGGCACAACTGGCCCTGGGTGCGTTTTTGCAGCTCTCAGCTGACCTCTACCTCCACCATGGACTTGCCGAGCACCTTCCCTTCGCTCTTGGCCCACAAAGGGCTGCCCGTGTTTTACCAGATCCAGGCTTGGTCCTGGCACGAGCTCTTGTAACATGGACGTGGAGCCTGGTGTCGAGCCCAGCTCGAGCTGGGCGCTCCTCCGCAGCCTTGCAGACCTGCATGGACCTCCATCCTCAGCTGACCTCTACCTCCACCATGGACTTGCCGAGCACCTTCCCTTCGCTCTTGGCCCACAAAGGGCTGCCCGTGTTTTACCAGATCCAGGCTTGGTCCTGGCACGAGCTCTTGTAACATGGACGTGGAGCCTGGTGTCGAGCCCAGCTCGAGCTGGGCGCTCCTCCGCAGCCTTGCAGACCTGCATGGACCTCCATCTCCAGCCCCAACCCAGCCAGTGGGAGAGGCACAAGCCGGACCGGCTG